AATATAACAAAATATTATTAAAAATATTACACTGCCCAACAGTGATTTTGTATCACAACTAAATTTAGTTATTTCTTATGAATTTCCACCTGCTGACATTTAATTGACATTAAATTTGGTAAAAAATTGACATTAAATTCTGACATTAAAAATTAATAATAGCTCTAGTTTTTTTCGATAAAAAAAATTTTATTTTTGACTTTCTATAATGTTTTCTTAATGTGTAAAACTTGTGATATTAGTTATGTCTGTTTGCTAAAATTTCTGGTCTAATCTATTCTTAGTTTTTTTTTTTTCATTTACTAATGTAAAATTTAAGAAATCAACATGCCAATGAAGTGTGTAACTTCATTGGACAATTTTTGTTACATATGTGATTAATCAATTTTTGTTACATATGTGTTACATGAAAAGTAAAAGAAAAGAACTATGACACCTCTAATGAAGACTGCTTACCAACATTACTTCGATATGAAGGTAGGGCACCAGGATAAGTCATAGGCTCCACAAATATGCTGTAGCATTTGTTCGGTTACACTACGAGAATTGTTAAAAAATAAAAAAAGATCTTTGGCATTTGCTGTTCCTATGGTATGGAGGGAGCCTAAAAACCATACAGATGACTACTATTTCTGCTTGACCTTACCCATTAAAGCAGGTTCATTAGTGAAGAAAATAGGAACAGCTAAATATCCAAAACTTTCATCTGCCATTCAACCTATTCCACATTCGGATAGTTTACTGAATGGAGATTATTGATACAATCTTCTAAGCTTGGCTTGAAAGCTGTATTACTGCACAATGGAAACTATCTTCTTTCTATTTCTATTGATCATACAGTTCACATGAAAGAGACTTAAGAGACTAATATAAGCATGAAAGTTCTCCTCAACTCAGTTAATTACAATGAACACAAATTGATAATTTGTGGTGATCTAAAAGTCTTTGCTATACTTTTAAGAATGTAATTAGGGTATACTAAATACTGCTGCTGTGTGGGACAGTAGAGACAGAAACTCATATTATATAAAAGTAGACTGGCCTGCAAGAAATCTCAACACAAAAAAAAATGTTATTGCTGAACCACTCATGAATACAAAAGATGTTCTTCTTCCACTATTACATATTAAGTTGGGTTTAATAAAAAATTTTGGCAAAGGTATGAGCAAAAAAGGACAGGCTTTTAGGTATTTAAAAAACAAATTTCCATAAATAAGTGATGCAAAAGTTAAAAGGGTGTTTTTGTTGGGCCACAAATGACGAAGTTTTGAAAGAGTAAGAAATGAAAACTTTGGAAGCTCTTAAGGGAGTGATTTGTGGATTTTCAGGTAACAAAAAAGATAACTACTACATTTAATTGGTAACAGTATTTCTGTAAAAATATCATTCGCTTGGATGTAAAATATTCCTCAAGATTCATTTCCTTCACTCACACCTAGACTTCTCCACCCCTCCCTCCCTCCCTCTCCAGTTGTGGAGCTGATGCCATAATAATTTATAAACAGTTAGTGATGAACATGGGAAAAGGTTTTACAAAGTGATTTCTGTAATGAAACAAAGATATCAGGGTTGTTGGAATGAGACTATGGTTGCAGATTACTGTTGTTTTGTGTGTAGGGATGCTCTAAAACTAGTCTACAAAAGGAAAGCAAAAAGTTTGCAATCTTGTTACGATACCCTAAAATTATATTTATACTTAGTAGCTTGATGATCATTATTTCTTTGTTTAAAACTGTTAAAATATATCTGTAATAAAAAAACACCAAATGTACTTTAAATATTATAAGAATATGTAAACTATATGTCATATTGTTTTGTTGCAAATTAACTGAAATAAAAATTTATTGCTATTGTATATTTCAGAAACTAGAGCTAATAAAAAATTTTTGTTGTCATTTTCTTTTTTCTCAGCCCGAAATTAGTATAATATGAATAAAGTTGCTCAAGATAGAAAAAAAAAATACTTTTTTGTTGCCCAGTGTTATATGTACTTAATATACATCACTGTGTCAATCAATTTCTATAAATTTTAAAAACAGTGCTCAACTAAAGCAAAAAATATAACAAAAATAATTATAATGAATATAATTAATAAAATTAAATATAATTAATTAGTATAATTAATAAAATTAAATATAAATAAACAATATTTGTGTGGAGTATTTGAAAATAAGCAAAAAAAGTTGTACCTGAAGAAAAAATCTGAAGAATTTTTTAGATATTCAATTCTTAATACGCTACTGCTGTTAGAAGAAAAAACTGCCAAATATGGGAGAGTAGAATTTTTCATTTCATTAGATATGTAAAATGACTCAATCAGATGAAGATTTGAAATAGGTAGCATCTAAATTAAGTAAGAGCAAGTATAAATACATGACCATAAGAGAACATGTATATATATGACCATATATTGCAATTGAAAAATTGATAAAACAATTTAAAAAAACATTATGAATGCTATTTCTTTTATAATAATAAAAATTCTTTCTAAACGAAAAAC